AAATTAAATTCACATATCCTATTAATTTATGAGTAATGTTTCTAGGTGGAAACTCTCTCGTCATGAGCTATTCCTATTTAGCCATTAAATTATAACAATTTATTTAAATTTGTAAAAAATTAAATGAATTATTTAATATGTTTTTCTGATTCAATGATTAAATATGGAGAGTTTTTGACTCTTCTAATGATAGTATCATCTTAAGAGCATTACTTGTCCATTAATACTTTGTATGGGACATACAATTATTGTATTGTCCTTTTATAAGATTACCATGGTGTCTTTTTATAAGGGTAATTTTGAAAATATAAATTTATTTAACTTTTAAAATTGGACAAATATTTTAGGACATCTAGACAAAAATAATAGGATCAGGGAGTCAATATTCATTAAAGGGTTCTATACCACCTAGGGATGGCAAATTATTATACGATCTGTCAACACGACTCGAACACAATATGAGATAAATGGGTTTGAATCATAAACAGGTTGACACGATTAACCTATTTATTTAATCGTGTGGGTTGAGGGGGGTCAACCCTTGTAACCTGTTTATACTTAACATGTCATAATTGTGAATATGACCTATGTAATATATTACTTGTTTAAATCCAATTACTATAGACAGTTAAGTCATTTCAATATATATCTTGACTACACCTTATATTTCTACTTCTTGTTTTGAATATTTAGGTTAATTGTGATAATTTTTCCTAGTGTTTATTATTTAATTAAACATTAAATTTCTCATTTTGAAAAACAGATGATTAAACATGTCCGATTAGTGTCAAGAGTTTTTGACACGATTATTAAATGGGTCAAACTTAAATTTATATAATATCCTTACATCGATACAACATGACATAATTATGACCCATAACACGAATTGTCACTACACAATTATGACCTGTAACACCATTTGTCACCCAATTATGACCTGTAACACCAATTGTCACCCCTAATACCACCTAAAAAACCATGAGGCACAGAAGAGGCCTGCCTGGACAATGCCATAAATAGTAAACCATCAGTTTATTGGTACTCGTGGCACAATGAGGGGTTAAAGATAAAAAAAAGATATACTGTACTATAAAACAGGAACCCATTTGAAATTTGTTTGTGAGAGAGCAAGAGCAAATTAGAGGAGATTTGGTCAGGCGATCGTGGAAACGGTTTTTGCTTTTTGCTGCAGACTGCATTGGTCGTACGGAAGAGTGGAGTAGCACAAAGTGTGTGTGCAATTGTTATTTGATGGGTACCCTTTATGTCGATTCCCCATTCTCATCTCTATCTTCAACAATCCTCCAAACACTTTCTTCACAATCTCTCCCTATCTTCAACCCTTCAAGCCCCTCCTTCTTCACAATGTCAACCGAAGCCCTAATGTTTCGGCTCAGACCACTTTTATTGCATTTCAAAACAACCCAAACGAGAGCCCTCACCCAGTTCAGAAGATGTACCGAGGTTTCTTCCGAATATGACGATATCATTGTCGTTGAGCCTCCGACCACTATTCTTCAGAGTGTATATACCTCTCAGAAGGTAATTTACTGTTTTTTTCAATTTAGTTCTTTCAATTTCTGTTTATATATGTGTGTGTGTGTATGTGAAATTTATTTGGTTTTTGATGGTGTTGTGTTATATGGGAGATATTTCATTTTGTGTATATGTCTATGGATCCCAATATGAGTATTCAACTTCTATGTTTTCAATCTGTGTTTGATATCTCAGATATGCACAAGTTCTTTGGCTTCTTCCACAGATGGTGGCTACCCTACTAGATGTCTTCTAAGAGCCGGAATTCTGCCTTGTGATTTTGTTATACGACCGGCCTTGTGAGGATGGGGGTTCCATTCTTCAAGTCCGTGGCCACGTCAATTTGGATGTAAGAATTAAGTCTAACTAGTTCCTCTTAGTATTACATTCTTGATTTTTCATTCCTGTTTCTTCTGAAATTTCCAATCACTATTACTATAGCTCAGGTTAAGACCTTGCAGGTACCTTTTATTGTTCATTTCACTTTGTTCAATTCAGTTTATATGTATTTTTATATATAAGTACATGTAAAATGTATTTGGTTCTTGGTGTTTATGTTATATGAGAGATGTTTATGCAATCTGAGTATTCATTTTGTAAATGTGTATGGATCTCAAGTCTCAAGTAGTATCATGAGTCCTAAATAACAGAGATATTGACTTATGTATACATGTATGAGTAAAGCAACAAATTAATTGGAAAAAAAAATCTGAAAAATAGAAGCGGTAAACCTCTCCTGTGTTTGTAATTCTTCTGGTTAGTGAATTATTGAGTATCAAACTTCTGGATTCTTTTGATTTCGACAGTAATCCTTTTAACAAAAAGCAAATAACACACAATATCAGCATTGGTTGGATTTTGAATCTTAACGGCGATGAGGACTGGATCACCATGTCTATACACATCTTTATCCGTCTGTAATTTCAGCAATGATGAAGGAGCCTTCACTTTCTCTCTTTGAATCACCACCTCTGAAGAAGGAAAATTTGCAAGGAGGCATGGACTCACTTTCTTCCCCAGTTTCATTTCTTTTTCTTTTGCTTTGTTGTGACTTGGAATTTTGCGAGTTTGATTTAGAATTTTGGGAGTTTGATTGATGATTCACGAAACCCTAGTAAGCCCCGACAACTGCTTTTAGTCCCACGTGTCTTGTAGTAGTCTGTTTTTTGTTTTTTTTCTTTCTATAAGCACAACTATAGTTCCAGGCTAGCTTCTACCTTGTTGTACCCCGTCTATCATATATATATATATATATATGAATACATCAAGCTACTTCCTATGGCAAGGACTGGTGCATGGTAAAGGCTGACAGCCAATTCCTCCCTTTATGTTGCCTTCTGGGACTCTTTACGATGTCTTGTCGGAAAATCTTTTTGGTTGGCAGGTTTCTCTTGGTCCACGAAGCTTGGATCATCCAGTTCAGAAGATGTACCGAGGTTTCTTCCAAACATGATGATATCAATGTTGTTGAGCCTCCGACCACTATTCTTCATAGTGTATATACCTCTATGAAGGTAATTTACTGTTTTTTTCAATTTAGTTCTTTCAATTTCTGTTTATATATATATATATGTGAAATTTATTTGGTTTTTGGTGTTGTTGTGTTATATGGGAGATGTTTCATTTTGTTTATATGTCTATGGATCTCAATCTGAGTATTCAACTTCCGAGTTTTCAATCTGTGTTTGATATCTCAGATATGCACAAGTTCTTTGGCTTCTTCCACAGATGGTGGCTACCAACCTAGATGTCTTCTAAGAGCCAAAATTCTGCCTTGTGATTTTGTTATACGACCTTGTGAGGATGGGGGTTCCATTCTTCAAGTCCGTTCCCACATCAATTTGGGTGTAAGAATTAAAATCTAACTAGTTCCTCTTAGTATTACATCCTTGATTTTTCATTCCTGTTTCTTCTGAAATTTCAAATCACTATTACTATAGCTCAGGTTAAGACCTTGCAGGTACCTTTTATTGTTCATTTCACTTTGTCAGTACAGTTTATATGTATTTTTATATATAAGTACATGTAAAATGTATTTGGTTCTATGAGAGATGTTTATGCAATCTGAATATTCATTTTTTAAATGTGTACGGATCCCAACTCTCAAGTAGTATCATGAGTCCTAAAAAACTGAGAGATTGACTTATGTATGCATGTATGAATAAAGCAACAAATTAATTGGAAAAAAAAATTGAAAAATAGAAGCGGTAGACCTCTCCTGTGTTTGTAATTCTTCTGGTTGGTGAATTATTGAGTATCCAACTTCCGGATTCCTTTGATTTCGACAGTAATCCTTTCAACCAAAAGCAAATAACACACAATATCAGCATTGGTTGGATTTTGAATCTCAATGGTGATGAGGACTGGATCACCAGGTCTATACACATCTTTATCCGTCTGTAATTTCAGCAATAATGGAGGAGCCTTCACTTTCTCTTTCTTTGAATCACCACCTCTGAAGAAGGAAAATCCGCAAGGAGACATGGACTCACCTTCTTCCCCAGTTTCATTTCTTTTTCTTTTGCTTTGTTGTGAATTGGATATTTGCGAGTTTAATTTAGAATTTTGGGAGTTTGATTGATGATTCAGAAAACCCTAATAAGCCCCGACAACTGCTTTTAGTCCCACGTGTCTTGTAGTAGTCTGTTTTTGTTTTTTTCTTTCTATAAGCACAACTACAGTTCCGGGCTAGCTTCTACCTTGTTGTACCCCGTCTATCATATATATATATATATATATGAATACATAACAAATAACTGTTGAATCTGTCCTCTTGGCAAATATAATTACCCTCATGATTTATGCATCTATCCTCATTTGTTGTCTACTGTTAAGAAGTTAATTGGGAGAGAAAGTACTGCCTTGAATGAAAGGCTACACTCTTGAATTCCTCTAGTTATGCATTTTAGTTAAAAAAAAAAATTTAACAATATCATTTCACGGATTCATGACTATTTGCAGGAGTCCGAATAAGTTTATGTAATGAATTACATTATTTGTCTTAATATTTTATAATACTTCTACAGAACATATTATAATATTTGAACTGATTGCTGGTACTATTCTTTTAATTGGAGTGTACATCCAACATGGGTGGCAGTAAACTTTCTAATTGTATCACTTATTGGCATATTAATCTGCCATATGTTTCTAGTTGTTAATAATATTCCTAAATAGTATATCATTGTACTTTGTAATAGCTTCGACCTATTGAACTGATTGCAAAGTTTCTGAATGAGAAACTTTGTGCTGGAAAAAAGAGTGAAGAAGAACTGGTGTGCACACTTGATGAAGTTTTGGTTTTATTCAGGTTTATACAGGTAATGTAGATGTTTGTAACATAATAATAAAATTGACTCTTACATAATTCATTTTGTAGTATATTAAAATTCCTATATAATTCTGCTCCTGTTGAATTTGGTTCGCCACTCATTTTTCATTTTATCTCCCGTTGACTTAGGGCAAGGATGTATTTGAAGCATTCTATGAGAAGGATCTTGCAAAAAGGCTACTGTTGAAGACCGAGTGTGGAAGCCAATTTACCAACAAAATTGAATCATTCAAGGTGTGTATGTTGTTCATAACATGCATCTTCTGCCCTGAAATTATGATTGAAATCTGTCTTACAAACTTGTGTTATTGGCTCTATTTAGAGGGTTGCTATGGCTGTTGCCCCATCACGACTTGGCACCTTTATGGGGCCAAGACCCTTACCTGGTTCACTTGAGGCTCTTACTTTGGCACCATGGATTTGCAGGAGCTATGGGTATGACTTAAAACTACCCTTATTTTGTTAAGCAAAATAAGTCAATAATAATGTATTTTGAATTGTCAGTCACTATTAATGTTTAGACTCAACCAAAATCTCTCGTAATGTGATATGTTAATGTGTGTGTCTTAAAGCTCTTTCTGTGAAAAATTAAGAAGAAACATGTTACAATTTTACCTTGGTATTTGAAAAAATGTTTGAAGCAGCCTATGCACTGCTTAATGATGCTATCAGAATTGAAAAAGGTATATTCTTACATGTTATTTACTGTTTCAGGACCCATACTGGTGATGATGGCTCATTGTCAGACCTGCCCAATAAACCTCCCTATAGATGTATCAAGTGCTGGTTAGATGACAGGAAAAGGAGAGGAAAATTCCGCAGACAAAATTACACGGAAAGAAAAAAAAGTCGAAGACCACTATGAGGAGATGAAAGGGGAAGATAAAGCATTCCGCTGCCTCACCCATTATCCCAAAAAAATTTGTAAACATTGTGGTAATGGGTTTCAAACCCCTGGTAATCTTGGGGATCATCTTCATGTTTGCCCGCACAAGTAGGTCATCATTGAATTTGAAAACAATTACTCCGTATTATTATTGTCATTACTACTATTTATTTATTTCATCTTTTTTGCAGGATCTATAGTGAATGGTTAGCTTGGAAGGTGTTGGAACCAATATATTAAAATGGTGAATATCGAGGCTTAGAAGCACGTAATCGCTTATTGAAGATAGTTGAAGCATCTCCCACGTGCAACGGAAGACAAATGGCAGCACTATCTCCGGGATTCAACTAAGCCCAGATATCAAATCTGTATGTTCATGAATGTTGCACTTCTTCTTCATGAACCTGTGTATTTATCTCCATCTGATCAACAGAAAATATGAAACTCACACACTCAAACTCAATAGTTTGAAAATACTTTTTCAAATCTCTTTTGATTCACTCTATTAGTTTAGAGAGAGTGTGTATCCATAGGCTTCATATGCCATACTATTTATACTAATATATTTAGAAGACATTAATTAAGTATTTAATATAACTCATAAATAACATATTAATATAGTAGATTAAATGCATAAGTTGAAGAACTTAAAGTTTAAAGTTTGTAAAATACTTAAAGTCTTCATAAATATAGATTAATAAAATCAATTTGAAACATAACTCCAACAATCCCCCACTTGTTTCAAATTTCTTTTTGATGATCGGTACAGTCCTGTGCATCAATAATGGTGTCTTTTGGACTTAAACCATTACCTAGTATAAGTACCCTTGATTTCATCTAGGAACTTGGTGAACGATGTCTTGAACCAAGAACCACGTTGATGAATAAGAAATACTACGCACACATTTCTGTTCGGAGATAAAGTACTAAAGTTTGACACGTTTCAGCCATGCGTCCGGAATCCATACTTCTGAGTGTTGTTAAGGATCAAGCCTGTCTAGATCCTATAGAAACGGCCCTACTTCCACACTCAGATCGGTGTGTCCATCAAGAGTGACCTTGCACACTCCATCCGAATACTGGTTATGGACTCATTAAGAGAATTTAATCTCATCCTCCTCATTGCAAGATAAATCGATGAATCTATCAAGAGTGATTGTGTACACCCTAATCGAAAATCCGATCTATAGAATTCATTAAGAGACTCATGTCTCAGCCTCCTCATTTGATTATATTATGAATCTATCAAGAGTGATTCTGTACACTCCAATTGAAAATCAATCTATAGATTCATTAAGAGATCTAAAATCTCAACGTCCTCAGTTACAGGATTGAGCACCCACATCACATCATAGGGAAAGGAACATTGATGTGCTCACACAAGTTGTTATGTTATTTGTTTGTCCCATTGAACTCAGGAGAAATATCACCGGGTTGGGTTCCCATAACATCACAATATTGATTACAGGCTCTTTCCAATCCCTTTAGATGTCTTGGACACAAGGTCCCTTCACATGTCTTTCGACAGTGGTTATGCCAAATGAGATATGGCCTTGGACATTAAGTCCCTTCACATGTCTTTCGACAGTGGATATACCAAATTAGATTCGGCCTTGGACACTAGGTCCTTTCACATATCTTTCGACAGTGGATTGGCCAAATGAGATTTGGCCATGGATAGTAAGTCCCTTCACATGTCTTTCGACAGTGGATCTACTAAAATAGATTTGGCCTTTATACAGCAAACTGTGATATTCCATTAGCCAGGATCTCTTCAAGATAATGGTGCTTCAACTGCACATGTATGGACTTTTCATTGTAACACTCGTTGTGAGCTTGAAGCATCACAACCTTATTGTCACGAAAATATTTCAAAGGCAGTATAGGCTTACTTCGTATTGGAATACCCTTCAGCAAGATCCTTACCCAATCAACTTCCTCTCCAGCAGAGAAAGTGCAATAACATTCAAATTCCATTGAGGAATGAGTTATACAAGTCTACCCTTTTAATTTCCAAGAAATCACAACATAACCCAGGGTGAAAATCCAAGCTGCTATGAACATTGAGCATCCATAGCAAAGAATAGCTGGATATTTGCAATAATGTGACCCATGATCCATAGTACTTTGCAAGTACCTCTATATTCTCACAAGAGAAAGTCAATGATCTCTTCCTAGATTATTTTTGTACTTGATAACAAGTTGTGTTTGCCCTGGTGCAGTTCATCGCATCATAAAGACCACCAATAATTTGAGAATTCAAGTTGATTCTCTGCACTGCCTTGATTGCAAACTGACTCTGATCTGGGATCAATAAGAACAAACTGCAACATTTGATAAGATTTTGAACCTTTCAAGATTAATTGATAAAATTGGATTGCGTTAGAGTAAATCCATGTTGAGGCCCCATACTTTGATTTACACAATCACACCAGCTTCCCTAAGATCCATCGTGTCAAAAGTTCAAATTAAGAACTTTATAGGCAAATAATAATTGCCAGAATTTCCTTGGAATCTCTTTTTATCAATCTGAATTCAACTGCAATCATTGCTTTCTCAAACATTCATTCCTCTATTTAGGAGTTTTCAAAAATTAGTATCATCAATAATATGATAACGTATCACTTTCCTTCATTAATATAATTAGCTCATTTCAAACATGTCAATATGGATCAAATTTCTAGTATTATTGTCTTTTCAACACATCAATAAAAGTTTACATACTGCATGTAATGCTTTGATCCACATGAACCTTACCATTGGTTATCCTTTTGATTAATAAATTTAAACTCATGTAATTAAGTATATGACATGCCATAAATTAAGAAATTTATAATAACCAAAAATCACTTTTATAACTGGAAAGCATACCGTTAATAGAGTGGCTCATTTCGACAATTATACCAATTTTGGATGAAAAATTGATGAATTTAGAACTTACCTCGAAGCCATTATTTGCAAATTTGAAGACCTCTTTCAGATGCATCACTTATCAGAAATTATGCTTATGCATGCCACTTTAGAAGTTAAAGAGTTCTTCTTTTATATTGTCATCTGATCCCCCCACTAGTCATAGATCTTGCATGATTTTGACTAATTGTAATATGGAGAGATGATCTAGTTTTAATCAACCGATGGCACGCGTCCCGAAAGACAATAAACTTCTTTTGTGATCTTCTTGTTCATCACAAAATATGATTTAATCAAGCGGAAAGTGACCTACTAAAGCTTTCAAAATTCAAGGAATAAACATAAGTATATTCAAAATGAGCATCAATAATGTGATCGATGGAGATCAGTTCTAAGGTACCATATTTCTTTCAACATATATGAAAGACCACTAAATTTTCACATGCGACTTATAATGCATTAACCCATATAGGTTTTACCATAACCTTTCTATCAATCCCTGACAAATCCTTTGATAAAAGGATTCAGTTCATTTATTAAGTTTATAACACGTTATTAATCAATGACTTTGGTAATATAAATATAAATTATTGCACAAATTTAGAAATACCTTTAATGAAAAGATTATTTCAAGGAACATACCAGATTCAAAGATAACCTTGAAGCCACACTCAAAAGGAAATGAATTATAAACCATATTCATATGAATATTAGGAATATGGTGTTCATCCTTTAGAATGACCAGTTTACTAGAATTGCAATTTCATCCAATTGCCTTTGTGCCTACCAACATATGATATTGGGTTACATGAATCTCCCACTAGGTATGGAAGAATTCTAGTCACCTTTAGTAGGATGAGATGCCAATTCAATCCACCCAGAACAGCTGGACATGGCTTAATCATGACACAAGCGATTTTCAATTGTCGAAGGAAAAATAAAATTTTCTTTTCCACCGTTGGGGTGTATATATATATACACACACACCATCTGTGACGTTTTTGATTTTCAGCGTTATTCAATTTTCTGTAATTCGTGTCGCCGCAAGGGCATTTTCGTCCTTTCACGTTTTGTGTACGGGATCTTAATAGTGTCCAATTGTATTTTTGTGCATTTTAATTTATGTAGATTAAGTGGTATTTGTAAGTGGTGTATTTTTATCTATGTGGTGTAAATGGAGGATTAAAGAAAAAAGAGAAAATAAAAAAAAGTGGCGGGACCCACCACTAGTGTAAATAATGGTTAGAGACCATTTTTGGTCCCTCAGTTCTCTCTCTCCCCGCTACCAGCTCTCTCACTCTCTCAAACTTCCAATTTCCTTCTTCTTTTGCTTCAAATCTTTGAAGCTTGATAGTCCCTTCATTACTTGCCAGATTTAGGTGCCGTTTGAGGCAAAACGAAGAGCACGACGAGCTCTACGCATACATGCAAACAATTTCAGATTTGGTGCCCTCCTTGATTTTCGAATTCCTTGACCCATTTCAAGGGTTTTGCTCATTTTAAGGTAGGGGCTTCCTAATTCACATTATTCATGCACCTTTGTGAGTTATTCTACTTGAATTGTGTTATAGCATGCTTATTGGTGTTAATTGTAGCCTAAAATGCTTTAATTGTATATATGTGAATATGTGAAGACTTGTCTTGATTGTGCTATATGAGAAGTATGCTTATATAATGAGTTTTATGCCTATTGTTCACATACTATAAATGGTGTATGAAAGCATGCCCTATTTTATTTTGTGATAATCTATTATAGTTTAAATATTAAAAGTATGAGAACATACTTACTTGTGTTGTGTCAAATTCCTTATTTTCATAGTATTGAGATCATGAGCCATGCATGTACACCATTGGGTTGCATGGAGGGAAGAAATTGTTTTTGAAATGAAAATGGGGAGTTTTGGGAAAGAATATTGTGATGAAAGTGTTTTGGAAAACCCGGTCGCTGCGGAGTCACCAATGGGCCGGTAGGTTAATGTAACCTAGAGGGAACTAGGGAAATTGCCCTAGCGTGATTGAGCTATCTGGGCCCCATAATGACGCTGTGGAGTCACCAAAGGTCAGGGACAGTAGCCAATCTTTCTCTCGGCGCTGCGGAGTCACCAAAGGGGGTTACATTAACAGTTTGAAAGCAATGATTCTGATTATGAAAAATGAGGAGCGACATCGGCATGCATTGCATCTTATTATTTG